GCAGAAGAATGTGCGCGGCGGGGCGGGGGCGGGGCCGCGGCAGCCCGGCCTTATTTGGCTTCCACCCACGCACGGGGAGGTGGGGGTGCTCCTGGGTGAACCCCCGGGCTGTGAGGGGCTTCCCCATCGTGGGCCCGGGAGATGATGGGGGTGAAGGAAGGGGATTTATCTGGGTTGGCCCTTCCTCTCCAGCGAGGCGGGCAGAACATCCAGGGGTCTCCAGACCTCAGACCCTACCCCCACCTTCCCCCCCACGCCCCAAGGCCAGTTGTCCGGCCCATTCCCGTGGGAAGGCTTCCTTACACCAGACCAAGTATGGCTTTTTTCCAGTCCCAGAGAAGAGGCGTGTCAGAGAGGACCCATTATCCTCAGGCAGAGGCACCAGTCAGGCCCTGCGGGTGTGGGACTATCGATCGTGGGGGTTGGATAGGACCATGCTGGGGACAGCCCACCTCAGCCAAATCACTCTCCTTTTCAGCTGCCCTGTTTCCTCACCTGTAAAATGGGAGGGTGCTGGTGAGGATTCAGCTAAAGAGTCACCAGAAAGAGCCACATGGCCCCTGGGGAGCCAGCGAGAGGAGCAGGGGCTGGGGGTCCCCGGGTTCATTCTTGCTGGAGAGCACACCCCCTCCCCTCTTCTTGTTGACCTGAGTCGGAGGATGGAGTCTGGGAGGACAGACTCATCCCCTCTGCAATCGGGCATCAGGCCCTGTCCATCTTGACCCGCAAAGGATTCCTTACCCATCAGCCCCTACCTGGGCTCCCTCACTGCTCTCTCCTGGCTCCCTTTGATCCAACACAGACATTCTCAAGGAACTTTTCAACGCCCAGTTACTTACTCTATAAATATTACCTGGCACCTGCTACCTGCCAGGCACTGTGCTGGGTGCTGGGGAAATAGCTGTGAACTAAAGTTATCTGACTCAGGAAGCATTTGTTCTTGTGGAGGGAAATACTATGAGCTACATGGCTTGGAGGGTAGAAATAAGTGCCTTGAAGGAGAATAAAACAGGATGAGGAGAGAGAGTAACAGGAGGTGGGAGTTGCTTCCCAGGAGGTGACATGTGGGCAGACCTGAAGGAGGTGAGGGACTGAATGCTGCCCAGTGGACATCTGAGGCAGAAACCCAGCAGGGGGAGCTTGCCCAGCTCACTGGCAGGGAGCAGCAGGAGGTGAGTGTGACTGAGGGGAGGCGGGTGGGAGATGAGCCCTGAGAAGCAGTAGGGACCTAGCCCTGGGCTCCCTGTAGGCCACTGTTAGACATCAGAGAGTTCTGAGCAGAAAGGTGGCAGGTCTGATTTGTTTTAACTGAATCGCTCTGGGGTGGGGGACGGGGGTGGGAGACCAGTGAGGAGCTGTTCAGCAGGATGATGTGTCCAAACTAGTGTGATGAAGTGGGAGAAGGGGAGGGGTTCTAGACAGATACTGAAGTTGCACCCAGTAGGATTTTTGCATGGACTGGAATGTGTGTGAGAGTCAAGGAAGACTCCAAGGGTTGTGGTGTGAGCAGCTGGAGAGAAAGCTGCTATTTTCTAAGATGAGTTGATTATGGAAGGAGCAGTTTTGGTGAGACGTCAGAAGTTCTGTTTTGGACATACTAGCTTTTAAAACTTTCATTTTGAAATAGTTTCAAGCTTAAAATAAAAGTTATAAGAACTGTATAAAGAGCTACTTCATCAAGATTCTCCAGTTGTTAACATTTGGCTTTATTATATTCTCTTGTGTGTGTGTGTGTCCCTCAATCATTTGAGAGTGACTTGCACACATCAAGCCCTTTTACCTTGGAATACTTCAGTATCTCCTAAAAAGAAGATTCTATTACATATCCATAATACAATGACTAAAATCAGGAAAAGTTTTTATTTAAGTATAGTTGATGTACAGTATTATATGTTACAGGTGTGCTTATCTAATATAATCCATATTCACATTTTGCCAATTATCCCGATAATGTCCTTTACAAATTTTTTTCCTTATCCAGGAGCCGGTCCAGGGTTATCATATTTCTTTGATTTCCCTCTGTGTGTGTGTGTGTGTGTGTGTGTGTGTGTGTGTGTGTGTGTGTGTGTAGTAAAATAACAAAGTTTACGAATTAACCATTTTTAAGTATACAGTTATGTGGCATTAAGTACAATCACATTGTTGCACAACTGTCACCACCATCCATCTCCAGAACTACTTCATCTTCCCCAACTTAAATTCTGTAGCCATTAAACTCCCCATTCTCTTCCCTCAACTGCTGAGCAACCATCATTCTACTTTTTGTCTCTATGAATTTGACGACTCTAGGTACCTTGTGTAAGTGGAATCATACAGTATTTGTCCTTTTGTGACTGGCTGATTTCACTTAGCATAATTTCTTCAAGATTCATCCATCTTATAGCATATGTCAGAATTTTCTTCTTTTTTTAAAGGCTGAATAATATTCCATCGTATGGAGAGACCACATTTTGCTTATCCATTTATCTGTCCACGGACATTTGGGTTATTTCCATGTTTTGGCTATTTGTGAATACTGCTGCTGTTAATACGGGTGTGGTACAGTATCTTTTCAGGCCCTTGCTTTTGATTCTTTGGGGGTATATACCCAGGAATAAAGTTGCTGAATTATACGGTAATTCTGTTTTAATTTTTTTTTTGAGGAACCGCCATACTGTTTTTCATAGAAGCTGTACCATTTTACATTCCCACCAACAGTGCACAAGGGTTCTAATTTCTTACATCCTCACTAATGTCTTATGATTTTCTATTCTTTTTTAATAGTCATCTTATTGGGTATGAAGTGATATCTCATTGTGGTTTTGATTTGTTCCATAATAATGTTAAGCATCTTTTCATATGCTTATTGACAAATTGTGTATGTTCTTTGGAGAAATATCTATTCAAATTCTTTACCATTTAAAAATCAGGCTGTTTTTTGTTTTTGAGTTGTCAGAGTTCTTTAACTATTCTAGATATTAACCCCTTATCAGATATGTGATTTGCAAAAATTTTCTCCCATTCCGTGGACTTCTCTGTTTAAATATTTTTAATTTATATAATTTATATACCATAAAATCCACCCTTTTCAAGTATATAATTAGGTAGCTTTATAACATTTACAAAGTTATACAACCATCGCCACTGTAATTTCAGAACATTTCATCACCCTCAAAGAAACTCCATATTCATCAGCAGTCATTCCCCATCTCCCCTGCCCCCTCATGCCTTGGCAAATGCCAGTTTACCTTCGGTCTCTGGATTTGTTTACTTTGGAAATTTAATGTAGATGGAATCATAATATGTGGCCTTTGGTGACTGGCTTCTTTCAGTTAGCCTAATGTTTTCCAGGTTCACGCATGTTATACCATGTATCAGTACTTAACTCTTTTTATTGCTGAATAGTATTCTGTTGATATCCCACATTTTATTTACGTATTCATCAGTTGATTGATATTTGGGTTGTTTACAGTTTTTAGCTATTATGAATACTGCTGCTATGAACACTGGGGTGTAAGTTTTTGTGTGGATGTATATTTTCACATTTTTGATGGATATCTAAGAGTAGAATTGTTGGGTCATTTGGTATCTTAAATGTTTAAATTTTTGAGGGACTTCTAAACTCTATTCCTCAGTACTGCATCATTTTGCATTGCCACCAAAAATGTGTGAGGGTTCCAGTTTCTCCACAGCCTCACCAACACTAGCCTTCTAATCATCCTACTTGGTGTGAAGTGGTATCTCATTGTGGCTTTGATTAGCGTTTCTAATGACTAGTTATGTTGAACATCTTTTCATGTGCTTATTGGACATTTGTATATCTTCTTGTTTTTTTTTGTTTGTTTGTTTGTTTTTGGAGTGGAGGAAATTAGGTTTTTTTTTTTTTTTTTTAATGAAGGCACTGGGGATTGAACCCAGGACCTCAGGCATGCTAAGCACACGCTCTACCACTGAGCTATGCCTCTGCCCCCATGGACATTTGTGTATCTTCTTTGGAGAAATAATTATTCAGAGATTTACCCCATTTTAAAATTTCTTTCTTTTTTTGTTGTTGGGTTGCAAAGGTGCTTTATATATTCTAGCTACTACACTCTTACCAGATACATGATTTTCAAATATTCTCTCCCATTCTGTGAATTATCTTTTAGTTTTGCTTGTTGCAAGAAGTATAAGTGTTTTGAACTTTGATGAAGTTTTTTTTTCCTTTGGTTTCTCGTGCTTTTTGTTGTCATATCCAAGAAACCATTGCCTATTCCAAGGTCGTGAAGATTTACACCTATGTTTTATTCTAAGAATTTTATAGTTTTAGCTCTGAAATTTAGGTCTCAAATCACTATAAGTTAATATTGTATCTGGTGTGAGGTAAGGGTCCAACTTCCTTCCTTTACATGTCATCCCAGCACCATTTGCTAAGACTGTTCTTTCCACACTGAATTTTCTTGACATCCTTGTTGAAAACCAGTTGTCCATAAATGTGTGGGTTATTTCTAGACTCTCAATTCTACTTCATTGACATATACGTCTACCCTTAAGTCAGTGTCACACAATCTTGATTGCTTTAGTTTTGTAATCAGTAAGTGTGTCTTCCAGCTTTGTTCTTCTTTTTTCTAGGTGGTTTGATTGTTTACTCTCTTGCATTTTCATATGAATTGAGATCAGCTTGTCAATTTCTGCAGAAAAGGCAGCTGGGATTTTGATAGAGATTGTGTTGAATCTGAAGATTAATTTTGGGGAGTATTGCCATTTTAACATTAAGTTTTCTGATCCATGAACATGAAATGCCTTTCCTTTTACTTAGATCTTTTAAAATTTAATTATGTTTTGTAATTTTCAGTGTACAAGTCTTCTACTTCTTTTGTTAAATGTATTCCTAAATATTTTATTCTTTTTGATTCTACTGTAAATGGAATTATTTTCCTAAATTCGTTTTCAGAGTGTTTATTG